TCAGTAAAGACATTGTTACTGGGGACAATAAAAAGGTCAGTCATTTCATGTATTGAACAAGTGGCATGAATGATGTCTGTGATAACTTAGAAGAAGGTAAAAGCACTTCATAATGTTGTTGATCAAAATTAAGGAAGTTTTCAGGCCAGCGTTGAAACTAGCAATTAGCACACGGGAAATTTTTATAAGTAAGTGAGAGGGCAGAGACAAGACTTGTAAGGGATCCAAGAGCCACAGAGATCCAATCCCAAGGAGCAGAACTGGGCTGTAATCAGAGAACATTCCCTGCCATAGTATTAAGCAACACTGACAACCCTTGCTTGAACTCCAGCATCACAATGGACCAGGGATTGCTGTGCTCCTTGCCTTTTAGAACAGGACAATCTCTTGTTCTGTCTATGTGTTGGGAACAACAATTTATCTCTGTCACTCTTAGTTCTCCAGGTCAAGAGGTGCTTTAGTGTCAGAACTTCCTTGATATTTGGAATTGATTTCAATGATGCTATTTTGGACTTGTCATAATGAGATAAGTCTACACACACACACACACACACACACACACACACACAGGGGCGGGGTTGTATATGAAAGAGGGACATTAGGAAAATCCAAAGAATAGAACGTAGTATACCATCACAGTGGCCTTTAATAAATTTTATAATATACACCACCTTACATAGGCCCTTCATATATTTATGTCATGCCTGACTATAAACAAAACAAAACAAAACACTTCTCTGTTAACTGTACTGTAGAAAAGCTTATACTAGATTACTCTATGTTGAGTGAACACAGAGAAATGACCTAGAAGAGAAGAGGTCATCTTGGATGTTCCAGCTCTAGTCAAGCTCACCATGGAATACAGCTACATGTATGATCCTGTCTGAGTCCTGAGAAATAATTAGTCTGAATTTAAGCCATAAATTTTTGGCATTTTTTGTGTCGTAATAATAGGTAACTGAAACATATGCTTTATTTATATTTATCTCTATTTCCTATGAAAGTGATTAAGGGACAGAAGGGAGGTGTATAAAAATGCCAATATTTTAAATTAATTATTTTAAGAGAATGGACATGAAGAAAATAAAGTGATTTAATACAGATAGTTTTTCCACTATATATGCAGTTATATCATTACTTGAGCAATGTTTTATACATATAAGTTGAAATTAATTTGACATTTAGGTTGTATGCAACTTGGAGAGTTGGCTGTGAGGTCAGCTGTTGATAGATGACAACAGAAGCACTAATAAAATTACTGTCAGGAGATTTATGTATGGGTGATATGAAGCATCAAAACACTCTAAATAAATAAATGTAAATGTAAATATATACTCTAAAATGGAGACTGGTGGTCCTGTAAGATGCTCAGCTTTTAAAATCAGGTCTCCACATTCACTCTGACTTCCTCCTGTTTTTTTTTATAAGTAACAATTTACTGTATTCAGTTAGAATCAGGAAAATATGTTTGTTTTTAATAGTTTTACTCATACTTTAGTTAATTGTAATTAGTCCTTTATGGATAAGAAAACTGATTTCAAAGTTAACCAGCCACAGCTACAGAATTCAAATATAATTCTCCCAATTTCTACCGTCCACTACGAGATGACGAACAGTTGGACTGTGCCTGCTCCCTCAAGTTTCCCACTCAGATAAAAAAGGATAAAGATAACAAGCCATAAAAACTATCAAAAGCTCTAGACAAACTCCTGCCATTTATAATTTTCCCCAAAGTATATTTGCAAAGCAATTGAAGAAATTTTAAGACATACAAATAAAACTAAAATTTCAAGTATATTAAGTTAAAATATTGCCACCATGGTTGTTCACTTTAACCCTGTGTTCAATGCCATAAATACCAATGTTTAATAATAGCTAATCATATAAGTCCTCAGATTATTAGTATTTAAATACATGTAAAACCTTATTATTATTATTGTTAATTTTTTTGGAGTTTTTGACCAGGGCTGGGTTTGAACACGCCACCTTCAGCATAAGGAGCTGGTGCCCTACTCCTTTGAGCCACAGGTGCCGCCCAAAAACTAATTATTTTTTATAAAGTACTAGAAACTTCTACCTAATTTAAAATGTGATAAAACTACATGTTTACTATACATGTAATAAATTTTATCCTCAGCTCTTACTCTCTTTCCAACCTCATTGAATAATTATTCCGAGTATGAAGTTTTCTTTAGTGTACTTTCAGTGTGAAATATTTTTACATTCCTCCATGATCAATTATGATTTATTTTCACACCATTATGAATCTTTATCACAGGTGAATAAAAATTTTAGATTCAATCTATATTGATAAATATGAACAAAACATGCTTTAATAGTGAAATATTAGAGAAAAACTGACTCATGATTTATAAAATATATACAATAGAATTCTTGTGAAAATATTATCATTCTTCACTTACCAAACATAATCATCATTGGTGGCTCTAGTGAGCTTTTCAAGGATTAAGAACCTAAGTGGTTTATAAATACATAAAACTTTTAAAAATTCACATATATTACCAATGAATCTTATATGCATACAAGTATGTTTTTTCTCATTTATATATATTGATCTTTTATTTTATTTAATTAAATAATTAATTAATTTTTAGAGACAGAGTCTCACTTTGTTGCCCTCAGTAGAGTGATGTGGCGTCACAGCTCCAGCTCCTGAGCTTAGGCGATTCTCTTGCCTCAGCCTCCAGAGAAGCTGGAACTAAAGGTGCCCACTACAATGCCTGGCTATTTTTTGTTGTTGTTGTAGTTTGGCCAGGGCCAGGTTTGAACCTGCCATCCTCAGTATATGGGGCCGGTACTCTACTCACTGAGCCACAGGTGCTGCCCTGATCTTTTAATTTTTACATATTTAATTATTATGAGTATATAGTAGGTGCATATTTTATATGGTACATTTGATGTTTTGACTTCAGAAAGCGAATAAATCAAATCAGAGTAATTGGGATATCCATCTCCTCAGCCATTTATCATTCCTTTGTGTTAAGAACATTACAAATCTACTCTTTCAGTTATTATAATCACTTTGTTATACTAAGTGTTCATTAGTATAGTGTTCATTTGTTCATTCTCTCTAACTGTATTTTTGCATCCATTAACCATCTCCAATTTATCCCCTCCTCTTCCCAGCCTATGGTTACCATCATTTTACTCTTTGTCTACAGGAGCTCAATTGTTTTTAATATCTAACTGCCACATATGAATGAAAAAAGTTTTGTCTTTCTGTGTTTGGCTCATTTCACGTAATGTAATGTTTTCAGGTTCTATCTTTGCTGTTGAAGTAACAGGATTTCATTCTTTTTTTCTGGCTATATAACATTCACTTGTATATATTTACTACAATTTCTTTTTATTTATTTTTTTATTTCAGGTTAATGTAAGGGTACAAATAACCAGGTTACAATATTTGCATTTGTTAGGTAGAGTCCCTCATGTAGTTGTGTCCTGCACACAAGATGTATGCCATATAACCTTAACCACAATTTCTTTATCCATTCATCCACTGATGGACACTGGGTTGTGTCCAAATCTTGGCCGTTGTGACTAGCACTGTGTAAACATAACAGCGTAGATATTTCTTTGATATACTGAATTCCCTTTTTTGAATATATCTAGTTATGGCTGTGTCATATGGTAGTTATAGTTTGAGTTTTTTGAGGAACCTCCATATTGTTCTCCATAGTGGCTGTACTAATTTACATTCCCACCAACAGTATATGGAGGCTTCCCCTTTCTCCACATCCTCTCCAGCTTTCATTACTGCCTGCTTGATAAATTCGTTTTACTGGGGTGAGATGACATCTCATCATACTTTTGATTTGTATTTCTCTAATGATGTTGAGCATTTTTTTCAGAATACCTTTTGGCTGTTCACATGTCTTCTGTTGAGAAAAGTCTGTTGAGATATTTTTATTCTGACACTTTTTAACAAACATGAATATTACATTAATAAAGAAGTCAACAAATTCAATACAGTGCTACTGAAAATGGCTTATAAATAAGTTATCTTTTGGGGTCATGGCTCTACTGTGACACGACTTACCAAACGATAATTGTATGTCTACATTTGTGTTTTGATTATAAGTCTTTAATTAAATACAGTCAAATAGATGCTCTTTATCATAGGTATGTAAACTTTAAAATGTATTTATTTATTAAGTTAATAATCCATCATCAAATTAATCAAATAAAAAGAGAAAAATGTGTCATCTTGAAAATTTGTACATACTTGATTATTAAGACAATATTAAAGACAGAGTTGTTAACTTAAACTAGCACTGTATAGTGTTAATGTTTCCTGATAATTAGATATTATATAAATTCTGCTATTAAAATAAAAAGCTAATGTGTTATATGGTAGGAAATTATATTGACTATCAGCAAAAGAATATAGTAGCAAAGAAGAAATTAATAAGGTCAATTTTTAACCACCAAACACATAATATCCTTATAAACTAGCCTATATATTTTTGAAATAAAATAAACATGAATTCCTCATTTATGTAAATATAATTCCATTTATCTCTATCTTGGAGACAGGGTCTTGCTCTGAATTCCATTTAAGAACTATTCAATTATTGCAATTCAGCATGAACGAAAAAATTATTTTCAAATGCTGTTTAAATGCCATAGTTTCTATAAACAATCAAAATGTGAAGATCAGGGAAATCCTCATTGTCAATCCCCATTGTTATTTTTTTGCCACTATATATGTTGCTCTCTTTTATAAAAATCAGGTGAATTCAGAAATTCAGATTATGTAACTACTATATTGAAAGCAATATAGTGCAACATCAGACACCCCTCCTGGGAGGTAAAAACACCGGCAGTTTTCTCACACTTAATATGAATCCATTTCTTCCACAATTAATGGTCAAGAATAGTAGTCCAGTATTTATTATTTGGAAATCAATGTACAACTTATTTACCTTCAAAAATAGTCACTTAAATAAAAGATAAATTATTAAATGTTTATTTCTTACCGTGGCAAGAACCCTCAACTTCTTCATATCCTGTACTGCAGATGCACCTTCCAAGAGGAACCAGCCAGTCTCCATCAGCTCCACAGTACAGTTTGGGAGTGTCACGCTCCTCTGCACTCTTCACACAAGAGCCCCGTACTTCAACCAAAGAGGAAGAATCAACCCTTGGGATGGTATCAGGAAACATGGCCAAGTTACGAACAGTGAAGGGGCACTTTTTGTAGAAAACTCGGACTGAAACCAGAGCAATGCAAGCCCCAATGTCTTGAAAAGCCAGGTAGAATCCTTTCCTTTCTATAGGCCCCACCTCACGAATTTCAGTGTTGAGTTTGAGGATGCGATCACCCAAATCCATCTGGGTAAAACTCTCATCAGCAGCAATTGTGTCGATCTTTGTATACTGGCTTGGCTTGAATTTAATTCCATGGGAATCATCTGATTCCATATAATACAGATTAAATGTTTCCTTACATGTCCCCAAAACCCATGGGATGCTGTTACAATCCCTCAGCGTGAACTTCATTTCCACATAAATTTTCTGGGCTGCGTCCCGGGAGATCCAGTTTGTTCGAAGCCAGTTGTTCTGGTTTGGTTCCATCACATTACATACCTGGTACGTGTGGATGGGCCTATTGTGTTCATCCATTTCAGTGATGGCATCCCACTGCAGAAAGGAAAAAGAAGTTATTAAATTATTACAAAACCACAGTGGTTATACAGAAATGATGACTTCTTATTTTTTAGAAAAAGAAAAATATTAAAAATTATACAAATGAAACTATTCAAGGCAACAAGAAAACAGTGTTTTAACCACGAGCCTTTGGTTAAGAGAATGAGTCTGGAATAGCCTGTCTTTCCTTCCTATATACAAACTGCATGACCAAGGGAAACCTTATTTAATCTCCAGTTTTCTCAATTGCAAAAGGGAGCCAATAGTACAGGGCTGTTGTAGGCATAAATAAGGTAAGTAGTTGTAACGCACTTAAAGTTGTTCCTGTTATCTTATAAGAATGTCAAATAGCATCCATTACCTTTGAACAAAAGAGCCAGACTTACGGCAAATGCACTTCAGCTTTGCCATCTCTCCTCATATATAATTTGCTACAAATTGAACATTGTTTACCAGTATTCAATTAAATATTTACAACACTATTTCAATAGAAAATCAACAGAGAAAGGCCTTAGAGTTATTCAGGAAATATTTATCAGGCACTATTCTGAACCCTGGGAGTACAACACTTAACTAGCTGAACCCAAACTCCCTGCCTTATGAGACTTATCTATCTAGAGACAACAGAAATTACTCAACAATTTACAGGGCGTAAATTGAATACTATGGTAAAAATTATAATAGGGAAAAATCATTAGGAGATGAAGAGGGTGGCTAAAAAGGCCTGACTGAGATAGTGACATTTAAGCAATTTTTCAGAGATGAGAGAGTGAACTTTGCAAAGAGGAAACAAAGTGTGATAGCTGAGGCAGGAGTGCAGAGGCATGTGAGCAACAGTGTGAGAGGGCATCAGAAGCACGAGAGGTAAGAGGGACACAGGATCAGAGAGGATTCAAGAAAAAAGTCTTTACAAGCATTTTAAGCACTTTGGCTTTTACTCTAAGCTAGATCATTGGATTATCTCGACTTGGCATGTTTATACACAAGCACTTTGCCACTTCATTGCATAGAAAGAGTTTGTTTATCCTTTTTGTTAGAATTGTAGTAAATGTTTGAGTACGTTGAAATCAGCTGGTATTATAACTTTTTATATATTTAACATTGCATCATTCCATACTGGAAATTTAGATTGTACAGTATTTCATTGTATAGTTATAGCTGAAATTTTTCAATAAATTAAAACATAATTCTAGTAAACTTATAGATAGGCTTTTTGAGAAAACATATTAGTTATCATATTTTTCCATTTCTATTAGAACATATTGGGAATGATCAATGGTTTGCTACAGTGAATAAGCATTCTATTTCTTGATATATTTCAGTAATTTATAGTAAGGTTTTATAACACACTCTACTTGCATTCTCTTATTTTGATTGGCTATAGAGAGTTACCTAATCAAGGCTGGTTGAATTTCAGTTAGTATAGTTTCTAACAGAATGGCTACTTTCTTCACTATACAGGACTGTTATGCCACTAAGTACTTTTAATTATCTCCTGTAAGTTTCAACAAATAATTTATATTATCCATCAAACCAATATAAATATAATCTCTATCAAAAAATTTATTTGTATGTTACTTGCTTCAAATTTATGGCCATTTCCCGGGGGGAAACAAACAAGGAGTTCCTTTTCAACTGTGGATATAATTTTACAAAACATACTCATTGTTTAACATGGGGGATTCAATATTTTCATAGGATCATATATGAAATTACTCATCTAAATAGTTTTCATCCTAATGTATCATGTAGCTCATGTTACTCCCACACTTAAATTTAAAGACAAATAAGCTACCAGGGCTTGTTTAGACTTCTAACTAATAATTCTTAATATAACCATGAACAGAAATAATCAGAAGAAACATAATAAAATTTGAAAATGGTTAAAATCATTTTCTAAGATCCAAAGAATTTTACCTACAGGAGAGCCTCTAAAGAACTCATCTTCTGATTATTCTAATTTTGGATAAATTTCAAATCAGACTTAATTTTGTTTCTCAGGTAATACAAATATATTATTATTACTGCCTATACTACAATCTCTCCTGTACCATACAGGAGTATAGAACTTTATTGCCAGTAAATCTTTAGAGTAATTGCATTTTAATATTTTCAACCTATATCTCTTTATCTCAATAAGGAGTATTTACCATGTTCATCACACAAAAATTTCTTTCATATATGACATGAATTTAACTAAAGTGTGAAAAATTGCATCTTGTCTGAAAAAATAATTTATGATGTTATTACATTTCTTTATTTAAAAATATTTTGGGTTGGAGGGGTATTTGGGTATAGGGAAAGGTCAGGAGTAAAAAAAGTGTCATATACTCACTGAATCAGGACTGATCTTAATCAAGGAATAAGGAATTATCAAAATATATACATAATGAGAAATGTGACTCTTCTCAAAGACCGTGCATAAGGATACTTAACAAAATGATGCACCTTTTTCTATGTCAAATTTGTGATGTTTAATCAACAATAGTGTCTGTTCTTCCTGCTTTAAAATAAATAAAATCAAAATTAGACTCAGGTACCGAGTCAGAACAGATTAACAGGCAACTTTTAACAGATCAAGAAATATAGAAAGTCATTTATATTAAATATATAAAATTAAAGCTCATTTCCTAAAATAAGAATATAAATTCAACATTGAAATAGATTCAAAAGGCTGTGATATGTACTACAAAATATAGTATCAGTTGATGTAGAAATTATAATACATTTTAGACATAATGGTTCCTTTGGAAATACTACATTAATGTATACAGTTCACCCTTGAACAACTTAATTTTGAACTGTACAGGTCCACTTATATGCAGATTTTCTTCCTCCTCTGCTAACTCTGAGACATAAAGACCAAATCTTCCTCTCCATCTTTTTCCTCAGCTTTTTCAACATGAAGGAAATGAAGATGAAGATGAAGATTCTTGTGGTGATTCACTTCCACTTAACGAATAGTAAATATGTTTTCTCTTCCTTATGACTTTTTTTTTTTTTAAGAGACAGAGTCTCACTTTGTCATACTCAGTAGAGTGACTTCACATCACAGCTCACAGAAATCTCCAGCTCTTGGGCCTAGGCAATTATCTTGCCTCAGCCTCCCGAGTAGCTGGGACTATGGACGCCTGCCACAAGGCCTGGATATTTTTTGTTGCAGTTTGTTGGGGGCCAGGTTTTGGGTTGGCCATCCTCAGTATATGGGACCGGTGCCCTACTCACTGAGCCACAGGTGCTGCCCCCTTATGACATTCTTAATAACATTTTCTTTTCTGTAGCTTACTTTATTATGAGAGTATAATAGATAACACATAAAACACACAAAATAGATATTAATTAACTGTTGGTATTATCAGTAGGGCATCTGGCCAACTGACTATTAATAGTTAAGTTTTATCAACAGTTATATGTGGATTTTCACCTACACAAGCCATTGGCCCCCTTAACTATTCCATTGTTCAAGGGTTGGCCCTAGGTATATGGTATGAGAGGCCCCAGGCCAGAATAGGGGTATGAGGACTCTTATATCATATGTGTAGATATTTTGAAATCATAAATAATTCTCTAAAAATGATCAAATTTTAAAAATATTTTATTTGTCTACTTTGCAAAGATACTTTCACAACAACCTGAGAGGCCAAGTTCATATTTAAGATACTTGTGCTCCTAAGCATTCCATGGAAGCATGTGGTGGCTTCCTAGCCTTCCTAGGCCAGCTCCTAGCCTCAGTCAATCCCAATTCTATTCCATTCCCTGATTCTTGCTGAGCTAGGAAGATCACTTGGGCCTAATAGTTTGAGGTTGCAGTGAACTATGGTTATACTACTGCAAAGTAGCCCAGGCAACAGGGAGAGCCCCTGTCCCACCTGCCCCTATCTCCTTAAGAAAAAACTAAGCTATACGCATATACTTTTGGGCTTTGTCACATTCAAACTTCCTATTTTTACTTCAAACAAACATATAACTTTCCAGCAGTGAAATATTTAGATGTATATAAACCTGATAAATGTAGAAATTACAGGATAAAATACTATCAAACCTGTCATTAATTCTTCTGTTATATTGATAATTCCTGTCAGCTCCTAGTATTTATAAATTAAGTACTGAACCCAAAATATCACAACTCCTCAATATCATGTTTATTTTTTATCAATTTTTTTGATGTATGGCTTAAAATAAAACACCAATGTATACCAATCAACCAGTATAATGTAGAAAGAAACTCAATAAAGCAACTCAAACCATACATGTTTTTGCAGAGGAGAATATCTTGTGAATTGTTTCTGTTTTTATGTCCGGTATCAGTAGAACACAGAGCTTCCTCTGCCTTATGGTCACTTTGTGAACTTTTTTGGGAATCAAGGAGTAGAAAGATAGATTACAAAATGATAGATGGAAAAGTTTTGTCATGCAGTTTCCTGCTAATTGAGAAGTTTTAGTTTAGCAAGACTCAGTTAAACTCCAAATGGTTCTTTCATTCATATGCTACCAGGCTACCTGGGATTAATGATCACTGAGGCAACTATTTATATACTGAATTTATATTTCCCAAAGCTTTTTCACAAATGGTTCACTCATTTAGTTCTCATCAGTCCGATAAAGACAGATATTTTCATTTTCAGGATATCAATAAAGAATCAAATTCCTGTGATTTAAAGTAATTATCGAGTATTCTAATGCATCAGAACTAGAACCAGGTCTTCTAACTTTATTTTATTTATTCTATTATGTTTTGTGATTTTTTTAATTTTAATTTTTTTTGATGTTTTGCAATCTTAAAAATCTTTCTGAGAGAAAATGGGGCAGCGTGAGGTGGGGGTCGGGGGGGATGGGGCTATCCAAGTCTCAAAATAGCAAAGGTCTGAGCCTGGAGATACCTTTCATATGAAAGCCAGCCACTCCTGAGTTCACAGCTCCAACTACCTTGCTCATCTCCTACCTACCAAGTCATTATTTCTCCTGCCCTAAATTATCTTAGGCCAGGTATTAGGCACTGAGAAGCTATTCTTATGACCAAATCCCATAGGAATTATTCAAACTGGCCAGTTCTGAAATGTTTACTCTCCTTCCCTTACCTCTCCTGCAGAAACCTCAATAAAGGTTCTGGACTTAAACTTTCTCCTTACGCCTGTCTCTGTCACATGACAAAAACCTACTGCTTGCCCTGTGGCCTGCATGGAGTACACTGATACCCCTCTCTAAGACTGGTAAGTTTAAGAAATTTCAAAGCCTCTTTTTCATTTTCTTCTGTGTCCACAGACACACTGACTTTGTTACAGCTAACGCATAAGTTACAGGAGTATTTATTTTAAAAAGAGATAAGAAATTTTACCTACTGGATAGCTAAATGTGCATAAAGCTTAATGCTTTATAGTACATAAGAATATTTCTATACTGAAGATCTTTGGACAGTCCCATTTGACGTGAATGTTTTTTAGAAGTGATAGAAAGTATAAAGAGTTATGAGTAGGACTTAATCTATTTATGCCTGAGGGTTCTCTAAAAACTCATCCCCTTGCACATGTGAATTTTTGCTTCTATAGCAAGCTAAATAAACTAGGCCAGTAAGTTGAATTACTTTTGGGAATAGAAAGTTAGAATAAGGAAATTAATTCTTAAACTCTTAGCAGTCATTGAGAAATCAGACTGCTTTCTTTTCTCAGAGAACAAAACAAGGCAAGCAAATAGCCTTTCTTGACAAAGATTATTAAGGTAAAATGCTGGTAAACTGACACACATATCCATTGTTTTCAGATAGATGTACCAAATGTATAACTTATTCTTTGTGAGAGTGTTTAAAATTCAACAAGAATATAAAGATTTGTTTAAAAAATAAACTTTGGAAATTTTAAATTAAAAGTATGTTTGTTTCTCAACATAGAATGTGCTCTTGAAAAACTAATTACATTTTCAAAAGGCACTAATAAGTTCTGATAACTTACTTCAAAGGAGATAGCAAAATGAAAAGGACAGTTACCCTCAGACTAACATGCTTCTCTCTGTATCTCCAGAGATAAAAGGAAGGAGGAAATATCATAGTCTGGGTACCTTAGGAATCTGAATAGCTATAGGGCTGGTCTGACAAAAAAAAAAAAAAAAAATCAATAAAAACCAATGTTAAATATTATACTGATTATAGCGAATAAAAAAAAGCATTCTAATAACATTGAAGAAGTGAAGAGCTGAATGAAAGTATTTTGGTCTTTCATTGTACCTGTGCTTTATCTATTTAGTGAATAAATAAATACTTATTTATTTATATGTATGTATAATCTCTTTCCTCTCTTCCCCATTACCTGTTGAATTTTTTTAAGAATTGCATGCTCTAACATCCCATGTTATAATATTAAATTATCATCCTTAGTTTATCTCAGCTTTCATTTGTGACAGATTCCAGCTAAAAGGGAAATAAATATGTGAGGAAAATATTTTATTTGATGTTTTTCTTCACAAATAAATACATAAAGAGGCAATATGCAAAGGAAATAGAATATCATAAATGACCATTTAAAAACATAGAATCCAAAATACTAAGTGCTAGCATTACATTAATAGATAATTCATTAATATAGCAATCAATAATATACTATTATTAT